AATTTTTTTTGAGCATGTATTCCATTCTTAACTTCTGTACAATTTCTATTGTTGCTGTAAATATTCTAAAAGAGAAAAAAAAATCCTGTGGTAACCTTAATTATAAGCATGGAAATGGTTAATTTTTACTGAGCACAATGTATTTTTGAATGGGCCTTCCAAAATATGTCTTTAATAAAAATGCAGATTTTGCACTAGAACACTGGCATTGTTCAACAGCTGATCTTATTCCTGACCTGTCTCCTCCAAAGCACCTCTCCATATACACAGCTTGGCTCAGATGAGTGGAACAGGACAGAACCTGTCTGGCCTGAGCTGTTCCTGTGCCCAGTGGATCGCTGCCAGGTCCTGGCTAACTCCCCGCTCTGAGAAGCCAGCTTGGATCTGTCTGCATGTTTCCAAAGCACCTTGTTGCCCACCATTCCTGTAGTCTCATCACAGGCATCGAGAGCGGTTTCTTCCTTTCAGGGCCAGAATCTCTGCTGCTCTCTCTTTTGAACAGCACCAACCCACCAACCCCCTCAGCCAGCACTACCAGAAATTAAAAGGCCCTGATAGTTTCCAGCCAGTAGACTTTGCTGCAGAAAAGTATCATGTTGGCATTTTATTATTGGCACACGGAATGACTGAGACCCTTCTGGGCAAATATTTAGGTGTCAGCAATAAGGTTTTGATTGGTTCCTCTTTAATGTGACCTGGCCATTAATTATTTTGTTCCTGTGTGCAGCTTTAAAAAACTTAAAATATTTCTCTGCCATTCTCTCATTCTTCAGTATAATTTGCAAGAAACTGAGGAGTAGGGGCCACTTTACCTTGGCCTCTCATCTTTCCCTCTGATCTTCAGCAGTAGACTTGCTGAAAGCCAGGACTTGCAGTCTGTTAGATCCAAAACAGCTGCCTGATGGGTTGTGCAGCAACCACAGCCTTGGTGAGACCAGGCTGCTGCCCAGTGCCTGCACTGAGGTGTTCATCACCTCCCCAGGAGGGAAACCACTGACCCAAACTGATGTCTTTCAATTTCCACTAGGACAAGCAGTCCAGTACTTTAACAGTCCCAGCCAGAAATGGGTTTGAAATGCTTGTTTCCCTGAGGTGCAAAATGCTCTGGGCACACTTTACTCTTACAGCTTTACTTGGGTCTTACTCTTTCAAGGATTCCATTGTAGTGACCTGTTTTCTGTACCCCCTGCAGAGCCCCAAAATGAAGTGGCCACCTCCTTGAACAGGAAACCCAGTGTAGTCAGCATTAGTCCCCCATGGAATGGGGACCATAGTGGGCATGGGCATTTTTCTCTGGGTGGAAGTGAAGGGATAATTTCTGCATGGGGCTGTTGACTTACACATGATGTGGCTGGTCTGGAGGCCTGAGGTAGTCTCTGATCACATAGCTTAGACTGGGCAAGTTTGATTTCTCAGCACAGTTCCCTCACTTCTCTCCAAGCATCCCATGCTAAGAATTCAGGTCATGAATATGAAGGCAGCTCTTGGTCTTACTTCCTATTTCAAACCCCTTGTGTTTTATGCAATTGCAAAGCCATGCATTGGTCTCCCTACATCTACAGGTAAAGACCTGCAGGATTGTTTAACGTCTTTGTCAGCAACATGGACAGTGGGATTGAGTGCACACTCAGCAAGTTTGCCAAACGGCACTAAGCCATGTTGTCCAATTGACTCACTATAGGGAAGGGATCTCATCCAGAGGGACCTGGACAGGCTTGAGAGGTGGGCCAGTGCAAAAATTATGAAGTCCAACAAGGCCAAATGCAAGGTCCTGCACCTGGGTCGGGGCAGTCCCAAGCACAAGTACAGACTGGGGGAGGAACAGATCATGAGCAGCTCTGAGAGGAAGGACTGGGGGCTGGTGGATGAAAAGTTCAGCGTGAGCCGACAATGAGTGCTGGCAGCCCAGAAGGCCAGTTGTATCCTGGGCTGCACTGAAAGCAGCATGGTCAGCAGGGTGAGGTAGATGATTCTGCCCCTTTTACTCCACTCTCATGAGACCTCATCTGGTGTGCTGCATCCAGCTCTGGGGCCCCCAGCACAAGAAAGATGTGGACTTGGAGCAAGCCCAGAGGAGAGACACTAATATGATCACAGGGCTGGCACTTACAGCACCTTCCAGTACATAAAGTGGGTTACAAAAGAGCTGAAGAGGCACTTTTCACAAGGGCATGTAGTGATAGGACAAGGGGAAAAGGCCTTAAGCTGAAGGAGGGTAAGTTTGGATTAGATATTAGGAAGAAATTCTTTACCATGAGGGTGGTGAGGCACTGGATCAGGTTGCCCAGGGAAGCTGTGGATGGCCCTCCCTGAAAGTGTCCAAGGGCAGACTGGGTGGAGCTCTGAGAAACCTGGTCGAGGGAAAGGCGTCCCTGCCCATGGCAGGGAGATTGGAGTTAGATGATCTTTAAGCTTCCTTCCAACCTAAACCATTCTATGATTCTATGTTTATGTGAGAAAGTTTGTGTATTTATGTAATTTTACTTTGGCTGGTACAGTCCCACTTTCATAATGCCCTCAGTCACACTGTTGGCTCCAACATGCTGAATTTATGCAGAGGTGGAAGTCAAATGCAATTCTAAAAGCACTTTAGGACCACTTAATTAATTAAGCCTCTCAGCACCCTTCTTTTTATATAAGAGGCAGAGGTTAAGTGAATTTCCAGAGGTCAATTAGCAAGTGAGCTGCACAGCAAGGATCAGAACAAACTCCAACTTTAGCAGGAACCATTTAGTTGAAAGTCAGAAGTAGGTCTCTTCCCCATGAGAGCATGGAAAAGTGAACTGCAGGCAAAGGACAGGGCAAGGGAAGAAGCAAATGAACTGTGAAATGCACTGTGTTATGCCAGTTAGTTCCCCCTTATTTATCACTGTACATTTCAATCTAGAAAAAAGATCTAGTGATTTCTTTGAAGTGGGAGGCTGGAAGAGTGATAGCCCAGCTCCTTTCTACCTAGACATTACTTTCTTCCTCTAAGGTTTTATTGTATCCTGTATGTAGGATCGGTCATGTGAAGGTACATAATGTGATGAGGTTCCTTGGTATATGATGGTGTGTGGTCCATCCATTCAGGTTGTGCATTAAGCTTGCAAGCTCTTCCAAATTTCACAGGAGCTCCTGCACCTTGCCATAGGGTGAATTTCCAAAATCAGACAACTTGAGAAACCCTTGACTGTGTGTAGGAGCTCTTCAGAGTCGAGTCACAGACAAGGCTTTCACTAGCTACAATCAAGCTTAACTGATTGGGGTGATAAAAATGTTCACTGGCCGGTGCCCAGTCCATCCTTTCACCCTTCTATCCCCACCCCCTGTGCCTCAGTCGTGCAGTGGAACAGCAACACCACTCCCTGTCACCATCCACCAGGACATGGAGCAGAGCTGCCTGTGCTGCCTTTAGGGCAGACACAGCTGTGTATTAACATGATGTCCAGGGCCCAGAAACACTTCAGCTCTCAGTGTTTGTGTTGTTAACACGAGCTATGACAGCTGGTGGAGAGCCCTTGTCTCCCTGCTGATGTATGTCAGTGTCCCTGGGGAGGCTGAAATACCATGGTGGTCCCACAGCTTGGCTGCATGAAGGACGTGCCTCAAGCTCAACAGACCATTAGAGAACCACACAGTGATTTCTTACTAGGAAAAAGTGTCCCTAGACCAATTTGTGGATAAGCAAAATTCCTATCCACAAAAGGGGGGTTGGGGTGAAGCTAGGGAGTAATGGAGTATGATAGCAATCATCTCAGCAGATGGGAATTTGTCTTTTCTACATCTCTGTAGAGTTCTTACTGTTTAATGGAGCAGCTTTCAGACTCACCAGAAGACCTTATTTTCCTGACAGATATTATTTGTGTCTATATACAGGAAAAAACAAGGCAGATACATCTGCTCTCATAAATGAATGTGATGAATTGCACAGCCATCCAAAGGCTTTTCTCATGTTTTTAGTCACATCTCATTTGGATTTAGTCACATCTCAACTCCTACCCTGCACAATGAGCATTCACCTCTCTGCCCATAGGGATAAGGAGAGGCAGATGGCCTGCCTCAGTGCAGTTGTCTTCATGACTCTTCTCTCTTTGCTGACACAGTACAGGTTGTTAGAAAATAGGGAAAAGGCCTCTGGTGCCTGCCAGGTTTATGCTACAGGTGCGTGGGAAGGCAAACCAAAGCTGTCACTCCAGAGCTCCCTACAACCTTCCCACATGGGAGCTGTGGGGCTGCAGTTCACATCTAGGTTGTGTTGAGCTTCTGTGCTGGGCAGGGACATGAACCATATAAACAGGTTGTCACCCCCAGGGACATGGGTCGATCATCAGAGCCTCCAGATACCCCAAATTCCTCAGATGCTAAACACCCACTGGCAATCAGGCCGTGGAGATCAAACAGTTAATAGGAGGCAGTCCCTATGTCTGTGCCCAAACACCCACAGGGAGCAAAGCACCCTGGGGTCCCTGAGATGTGTCAGTGCAAAACCAGACAGGATACAGGTTTGGTCATCTGGTTCTCAAGGCACTGATGTCTTGAGAAATGATATCTTCATGTCCCAAAACTGGGCACAGCTGCTCAGGCCAGAGGGTTGCTGATACAAGAGGACATGAGGTGGTTTGAGAGTGTGAGATCCAGGTGGAGGCCCTCATACTGAGGACAGGCCAGATCTGGCCCCAACCTTGTTTCAGTGTTGGCAGAGACTGGCATGAGGAAAAGCAGGGTGACATGTCTGTCCTACGAGAACCCTCCCTGGTCCTGGTGGGGCAGTGGGGGATGGTTGGGCTCCAGGACAAATAATCAGGCATAGACCTGCCCTCCTGAGCAGAACCCAAGCCCTGCTTTTGGACCCCATCTGCATTTACTCTGGCCTTCACAGCATGCTGTAATGATGATGATTTCCCCAACATAACACCCAGGGCCAGAAGCACCACATCTCATGGGATCAAAGCCCTGATCCTTCCCACCTTTCCCAACGTGTGCCCACAAACACCCATCAGCTGTATGCCCAGGCGTGGTGTGGAGCCATGTTTTATTCAAGACAGCCCTTCCCTTCTCCCGTCTGGGCATTTACACCGCAGGACCGTGGCTGCAGCCGTGGTGGTGGCGAGGCAGGGCAGACACCCCCACATCCACCTCAGGACACAGCACCTCAGCCACACCTGCCCAGGCACTCCAGGAGCTCCATGCGGATGGCGATGCGCACGTGCCAGCCCAGCGGGATGAGACGGATGTAGCGGGCCACGATGGGCGGCCGCAGCAGGTTCTGCACTGAGGAGGAGCGGTCCGAGTTGCCATAGAAAACCTGTGAAGGGAGGTGCGGGTAGGTGGTTAGGGGGCTGGAAATTCTGTCCCATGAGTCTGGGGTGCCTGTGCAGAACTGAGGAGGAGGAGGTTCCTTCCCTTCCACCTCAAAACAAAACACATCAAAAATAGCCAGATTGTTTTTGTCACACTGATTCGGTTTTCTGAGTAAGTCACTTTCTCCCATTGTTCCTGCACTTCTTCTGGTTAGGCCAGACTTAATCTCACCCCTTTCTCCCTCACTTGCCTTCCAGCAGCAAGGCACCACATGTTTGGAGTGAGCATGGTAAAATTTAGCTCTTTGCAGTTCATAAGCTGGGCTCTCTCATATGCCAATATAGACAAAAAAATGTATCTTTCCCCATTGCTTGGCCAGCATGTCACATCTCCTGCTGCCATGACCTGTTTTTTGGAGAAAGCCCAGCACAGCATCTCCCCAAGGCTGCAGGAACCAGTACTTCAGCAAAGCCACCAGAGCCTCCCATGCTAGGACAGGGCCATTCCCACAGACAGACCCTGAGGATGCTTAGGAGGCAGCAGCTGTGGCATCTCCAGTCCAGCTGAGCTGCACAGCCATCACTGTAAGGTCTTCCCAGTGCAATTTTTTGCTTCAAACCAGCCAGTAAAAAGTGCAGCGTGAGAATGGTTCAGTGGGCTGTGACATAACTAGTTACAGATCTTGTCTTAGGGGTTTTTCTGCATTGTCATTGTGCACTAGCCCTGGGCTTACAGCAAAAGGGGTCCCCATTTCTCAGTGCCCAAGCACTGGTTGTATGGCCACAGCCGAGAAAGGGGTTTTATCATGAAGGTTCTCCCTCCTCTGCAATGCTAACTAATACCCCTGAGCTTAATCTGGACTCCACTATCATCATTAGAAAACACAAAAAATTTATTTTGCCCTGGTCAGCACGGGACTCACTTTCATCACAGAGGAAATGGCCCCTCTCTGTGCTGCCCCAGACATGGAGCGAGCACTGAGACCCATCCACCCTGCAGCTGCCACAGGACCCCCATTTTGGGGCACCTCTCACTGAGAAATGATGTCTTCATGTCACCAAACATGCCACCCCTCCACCAGTGGCCGAAGAGCAAATTGCACTGACCCGATTGTTCCCGGTTTGGTCCTTGTAGTAAACCCAGTTGAGGTTTTCGTCGGTGCGGTACTGAATGCTGTACTTGGTCATCCACTCATCAGCATCACAGCGCCCTTGGGTGAGGATCCCTGAAATCACCTTCACCTCCTTCAGGTCGATCTGCAGCCACTGTGCAGTGTCCTGGTACTTGGAGAGCCACGCACACCTGGGGGACACCACCAGCCCTGCCATGTCCACTACTGCTGCCCTTCCAGGCAGACCCTCCTGCCCCAACGCCACCAAGGTTGCCCAGCACCCCACACCCACTGCCCCTGGGGCCCCTCAGAGAGGCATTTTGGAACTCACCCAAAGCCTTGGCCATTGAGGCGGGCCTTGTTTGCTGTCCAGGAGGAGTACCAGCCCGTGTACTGCTCAGGGTTGGAGCAGCTTATCTGGTCTGAGGTGACAGAGCCAGACTCAAAACCCAGGGGCTTGTGGTAGGGACACTCTGCAGAAAAGGGGAAAAAACACCTTAAGTGACACGAGTGGCTGTTTCCTGGGTGTGTTTGCACACACTTTGTCAACATCTCCTGTGGTTTCACTGCTCCCTCTCCTCTCTGACTAGGATGCTCTTATTCCCAGACCACAACCTGCACAGGGGCCATACGGTCTTCATTTCTAATTCTTATTTTAATTTCTAACTCTTCTTTCTCTCTCAAACTTACTAAACCTGTTCTACCTGCCACATTTTGGGGGGAAAGGCTTTATTCAGACGTTGCAGTCTGAATCTCCTTCTTGAAAGGCGTGTGGAAGAAGAGCCAAGCTGGATCTATCAACCTGGATTCAGGCTGTCAGCCTCTGCCTGATCCTTGAGAAATGTCAGACACTGCTTTTGTTGCTGGGCTTTGCCTCCTTCTGCCCCTCCATTCACTGTCTTGATTTATGGCTCTACTTGCATGGCAAAATTTCTGAGCAAGCTCTGATCATCAAGCTTGCTTCACAAGCACCCTCGGGTGTTCTGCATTCTCTGCTATGGCAACCATCTTTGTGTCTGGAGATGGTCTTGCCTTGCGGAAAGCCTGCAGGTGGTCTGGTGCCAGTGAGGTGCAGTTCTTGACCCTGCTGAAGGCTCAGGGATCTCCATCTGAGTTTTTGACTTCAGATCTCCAGGCTACCAACCCTGCCCCCACAGCTGTCATTGGCAACAGTGAGAAATTCAACATGACTCCTGCTGGCTGCAAAACTACTGGAGAAAGAAATACTCATTTGTCATTAAAACTTTCTGTGGTGGGTCACCACGCACCGCTCTGGAACGCAGGACTTTGGTGATGCTGAGCACCTGCATGCTAACTGGACCTACCTGTAGGGTTTTTTGTTATGATCATTTTTTATACAATCAGGTTATCACTGCGTATCAAGATATGCAGAATTGAAGGTGCTCACAAGGGTCACATGGGGATCGTCTAGGCAAACATCTATATCATGGGCAGCATTTTCTAATTTTGCAGCCTATGGAGCCCCCAAAGGTTACTCTGTCCCTTTCTCCAGTTCAGCATAGTTTGTCTCATGGGTCTCAGCAGTAAAGGAGCAAGCAAAGCCCTGCGCAGCTTCCCTTGTGGGTAGGACGTTTCCTTGCCTTAGCTGTGCCTGACTAACCAGCGTGGTGCCTCGTGTTAAAAATGACCCACACGTGGGGTGCCTCAGTGGGGGCCCAGAACCCAGCATGACCGTGGCCTCCCCAGTGCAACTCCCCAGCACTGCGGCCATGCGGTCGATGTCTCATTAGCAAGCTCCACGAGGTCAATACTGTATGCATCAATATCTCATTAACATGTCTTGTGCAGTTGGTACCTCATTAACATGTTTTTTCCCATGAAAACATATAGCCACTGTCCCGCCTTCCTCCAGGCATGGAAACATCATGCTTTTCCACCACGTTAAAAGCCTTGCTCCCCTTGTGCAAGAGGTGGCCGGGCTGGGGTGGCCCCTTGTGTTTACTATTCGTTAGGCTTATCTCAAACACCACCCAGCCTCACTTTTAGCAACACTAATCCGCAGAGCACACAACCATAATGCAATTAGCAGGTCACCTTCTGCTGATTCCGTTTGTGCCGTGCACAAGGACCCACCAAAACAGATGCCTGGTGCCTGCCCGGCCAAATCAGCCAAACCATTTAACACCATCACTGCCAATCCACAGGAGACTTGAGTGGTGTTTGGGAAGCAGCTGCTCCCACTGGCCATGCCAGAGGCTGCTCTGCAAACCATTGCCAGGCAGCAGGGACACCAGGCCAGACCATGTTGGCTGGGCTGGACTGGGCAAGGGCAGCGCGAAGTCCTTGCCTGGGGAGAGCAGAGTTACAGTGGCAATATTCATCATTCAGGAGAACAGCCTTCATCAGTCAAGGAAGATGCCTTCATTACTCAGCTGCATAATGCTAATGTGTGAGAGCACCCGTCACACCTGGCCAGGCTGGAAACCTAGCCCTGCTCCTCACCTATCTGCCATGGACAGATCAACCAAACCTGCCACATCTCCTTCCCTTCCCTTGCCTCTCAAAGGGCAAGAGTTTTGAACAGGAAGAGTGTGGGTTTAGATTGGACATAAAGAAAAACTTTTTTACTGTGCAGATGATGATCCACTGGAACAGGTTGTCCAGAGAAGCTGTGGATGCCCCATCCCTGGAAATGTTCAAGTCCAGGATGGATGGGGCTTTGAGCAACCTGGTCGAGTAGAAGATGTCACTACCCATAAAGGGGATGGGAGAGGGGAGGTATTGGAACTAGATGGTCTTTCAATGCTCCCTTCCAATCCAAACCGTGCTGTGATTTTATGATTGCTTGGTGCAAACAACAGCAGGATGGTACCAGGCTGTAGCAAGACTTCAAATGGAGAATTGTACACTGCTAAGGTTAAACGGTAAGAAAATACGCAGTAGGACCAGGCTGGCATGCCAGGCATAGGTGCCAGTAGGGAGCACTCACCAGCATGGGTCACTCTTGGTGACCTCCCAGGGCCCAGGAATGGTGGCTACCCCTGCCTGACGGGGCAGGGTCACCCCCTCACCTCACACCGGTGCAGCTCCCCCACCCTCATAGCAGCTGGATTTGGAACAAGTACTGCCAAAACATGCCTCCTCTGCAATGGTGAGTGCAGAAGGGGAAGCTGCTGGAGATCACCAGGCAAACACAGCTAAAAGCACACTGGTCCATTACCTGGCATGCACTCCAAGCTGTTAGTCCCGCTGGACCACACCGAGTTAGGTCCTCCTTGGCAATCACATTTGCAAGCCTTGCTGTGCCACAGCTCCAGTCTCTCATCCTAAAGGGAAGGTAAAAAACCAGCAATAAATCAAAATAGTCATCAACAACAGTGACACAAAGCTACATCTGAGTTCTGAAGTTTAGACAGGTGCTCATGCCCGCCCAGCCTGCTGCACCTTCTCTGAGACCCTCATGTCAGCCTAGCATGAAACATGGGGTGACTTAGATCCCTTGGATTCAAAGGTCAGACCCTGTGCCTGGGCTTGAAGACCCAGGTGCCACCCTTACTTCTGGCCCAAGGCACCAGAGCCAGGCAGTGTCGGAGCCCCAGCATTCACCTGGCAGCCAAACTAGTCGGAGACACTTACCTCTCCTGGGGAAAGGGCCATTGCAGCTGGGCAGTGGATGTGGAGAGAAGAGAGAGAGAGATTAGAAACAAAGATGCTGCAAGCAAACCTTAGGAAGTACAATTTCCTCCTGAGCTAGGGACAAATCAATAAAGGAAGGACTGATGAATCTACCACGTTTTCCCCAAGCTGATTGCCAGGGGAAGGTAAGAGAATATGGGCAGGAGCAGTGCACGGCCTGTGTCCATGTCTGTCCTACTCCTCCATGCCTTTGGCATCTCCTCTTTCTGTTCAGACACACCTGAATCACCCTGAGGAGAAACTCATGCCAGACAACTTAGTCTCTGCTTTACAGCTAATTTTGCCCATATCCATTTTTTCTGCCTTCCTGCTCTACAGTTTTCCTGTCATTTTCTCCTTAAAATGTGTAAGCTGATGAACTCCAAGGGTGAAATCCCATCCTGGCACTACTGCAAGTGGTAAGTGCCTTTGGAGGAGATGGGACACCCTACAAGGTGCTTGGTCTGAGACCACTCACTCTGGATGGGATGGAGAAAAATGTAATGTAAATAGGTCTTCCTAATCCATCTTACAGACAGGATACCCTTTTTTTTCTTAGGGAAAACCAGTTGTTGGGGCTGTAGAGGAAGAGACACTATTTTTGTAACATCTGACCTGTTTTATCTCTTGCCTCTTACTAAGCAATAGCTTTTTTATGAGCACTTTCCTTACTGGAAAGGCTCTCCTTGCTTCACAGTGAAGTCCAAAGTAGGCTGTGTTAACAGCATTTGGACTGGCAGGATAGTTCCCAGACATCTACGAAAATAATAAAAAAAAAATATAGTTCCATGACTGCTGATGACTCATCAATACAAGTCAAATGTCAAACTTTTTCAAAGCCAGTAGAGAATCTACAAGCCACCAAGGAAACAAGCTATTAAGCAGGTAAAACTTGCATACAGAAGCCATGAGAAACCTGCCGTCTCCAGAGGTTTTGTGAATACGAAAAGAGGTCTTTTCACCAAATGAATTAGACTCTGAATTATTCACTGAATTCTAGTTATGATTTATTCATTCATACACTGTCACTTTGCTGAGCCTAGGAAGCCCCAGCTAATGTTAGGAATTTACATCTCACATTTCTATAGCAAGTTTCCTCTCAAAAGACTCACAAACACAGAGCAATTATAATCATCTGAAATATAAACTATATACAAAGCTCTGTTTATTACTGAAATGCAAGTGCTCCTTGGGTGTGACACTGAGCCTAAATGTATCAAGAGTCTGAAATAAAGTCAGCCAAGAACAAAATTATAAAGACATTTTAAAAAATTCCTTTCTCTAACACAGAGATGGTTTCCTGTGCTTCAGTGTCCCAGGGCAGCATTTCTGGCATCAGGAACTTACAACATTAACCCAAGGCACTGCCCATGTCAGAAGAAGTAAACACTGGTCTGCAATAAAAAGATGTGGCTTTTAGTTAGACCCAAGAGGGAGGCGGGAGGCACCCAGACCCCAACAAGCTCAGGACGAAAACGTGGCTGCACATCTCCAGATATGGCCTCTTGTGAAGTGTAGGCTGAGGGCCACTCACAACACTGCACTGCACCTTTCCCAGCACAGATGTTACCCAGTCAAACCCTGTCTCTCCACTGTGCAATGAGAAAACCAAGGCAGAGGTGCAAGCCCCAGGCCACCTCCGTGCTGTTCCTCACAGGGCAAAGGAATTTGACTTAAATCAGCATAAAGGTGGTTTAAAGTAATGCTGTTTGCCAATTCATTACACACGAGGACTTTATCACTTATCAAAACTGTACCATCTCTGCCAATAAAAGCAATGTACTGCCTCTCCTGCCTGCTTGGTGCTCTGTTTGATGCCAGTTCTGGAGTGGCACTGGCACCAGGGCCATGAGAGCCAGGCCAGCAGGTGTCTCCTGCCCCTCCAGCCAGTGCTCCTGCTCCAGGAGCACCAGCTGCAAGGACAGCTTCCTTACCCTGAAATCTGGGAGCCTGACTCCCCAGCCAGCACAGGGGAGTCATGCATACCCATTGCCCAGCAACTGTCTCAGCTCACAGAGCTGCAGGCTTGACTCCTTCCATCTGCAGGCACTCAGGTTTCATTTAGAGATGTGTGCTTGCTACGTGTTTCTTAACTTCTTTCTTTATTTTCATCTTTAGAACACTGATTTTTGTGCAAAAACTTCTGTGTGTCGTTTTGGGTTTTCCTTACGGTGGTTTAATGCACTTTGGCCTGGCAAAGGGGTTGGAAAAGACCTCTAAGATCATCAAGTCCAGCCATTAACCTAAGAAAATTATGTTCCATGAGGAAGACTGTATTGTGGTGAAGCTTACTCTTGTGCACTACATGCCTGTGGTGGGGAAAGGGGACGTTGGTTACCAGGACTGATGTAGGGTATTGCTGTGGGACCACGCTGAGCCCTTCCATAGGCCTCCTGAGTGCCTCCCTTTGAGAGCCAAGATCAAAATTTGATATGTCATTGACACATGGAGCTGGAAATTCAACATCTGGGAGTGAAACAACAGGAAAAAAAGGAACAGTTTTCAGGTGGGTGGCTCTATGATAGCACCAAATTCAACCACCAGAAATAAATCCTCCTCACAGATCACCCCAGCATTGCTTGGGTGGTTGCACTCAGCCAGCGATGGCTGCACTCAGCCAGTGATGCCGGCTCCTGAGCTACAGGAGTGGCTTCTAGGGGTTTTAGCCTCATCTGCCAAGGGACACCACTGCAAATCAAGCAAGGGTATAAACTTCCAGCACAAAAGGCCTTTTGTCAAGGCAATGTTTTATTGGGTCAGTCCCACAACACACAGTGGTGCAAAGGCAGTGCCAGGACACAGGTGCCAGCGTGCTGTCCCTTTGGTTGTCCCCTCTGGGCTGGGGACTGCTACTCCTCACTGCATATCTCACTGATTTAAGTATCTCAAACAGGAGCTCAACTTTGTGTTTTTGAGTCAGAAGGGTTAATTGCTCCCACAAGTGTCTTGCTCCCACAAGTGTCTTGCTCCCACAAGTGGCTCAGCCATCCAACCATGGCACAGGGGAGTGGCAGGCTTGGCTTGGCTTGGGATAAGCGCAGCAGCAGACGGCCAAATATCCTGCCTGGGCAGCGTGGCCTGATAACCCCTGGTGCTGGGAGAGAAAAGGAAAGGAAAGATGCCCTTGCCTGCAGTTGGCCAGAAAACATAGTAATTGATATATTGGTGTGTTTACAGCTGTGACAGGCCCTGTCCTACAAAGGAAATGAAGAGGAAAGCTGGCTGCCAATAGCCTAAAAAAAAAGTGATGGCCAGCATGCTTTTATAGTGAGCATGTTTGCCTTCAAGGAAGGTTACAAAGATAATTGGTAATTGTAGGTCAGACAGAATGAATTGCTGCAATTCGTGGGAGAGTCATAAGTCCTGCACTGCCGCCAGGGGCTGTTGTTTTAAAATCACAAGACTGAAAAAAGCCACAAAACATTAAAAAGTAAAAAGCACTATTTACAGCCCCCCTCAGGACATTTAGCAAACCATCAGTTCAGTGACATAAACTATTACCTGTGTTTGTGGGAGGCAGGGAGAAAAGGCATGCACCCTTCCCGTCCCTTCATCCTACTCTGCAGTGTGGTTTGTCCAGCACACTGTCATGCACAAATGCCACCCGATGGGTCGGGATTTACAGACCAGGGCTGGGGCAAGAACCAGAGGATGATTTTGTGCCAGAGCACCTCTCCTAGTGAAGCTGGGCTGGAGCCCAGGCCCTGGGATGGCCCCACTCAGCACCTGCTGCTGAGCAGGATGGAGGGGAGAGATACTCCAGAGACTGGTCCAGGTTTGTGGGAGAAAGAAAAGAGATGGCAGAGGTAGTCCTGGGATGCCAAGATGGGGAGGACACAGGTTTCCTGAGGTGGAAGTGGGATAAAACAGCAACCACAAATTAGGACTGGCTGGGAAAAGGAAGGGGCAATCAATAACAAGGAAACTCAGCTGCTGGCATTTTAAGGGCAGGAACAGGTAACTGTGTGCCTCAGAAAAATTTGTAATCATTAAGAATGCAGTTAAACAAGAGTAAGAAAGGAGGAAGTTAAGTGTGGACAGAAGTAACACGGCCAAAGGCTAAGCACATTTTCATGTAGTAACTCTGAGAAAGCATATTCACTATCCTGACTATAAAGCCACAATACCAAGTCATCTTTCAGTGTGTCTAGAATTAATGACAAATGTACAAGCATGAGAAAGCACATAATAAAATATGTAAACAGATAAATAAAATATAACACAGAATAAATGTCAGTCAACTCAACTTACTGGAATAAGTTCACATAAACTTGATCATTGTAGGAAAAGTATGTGGAAAAGTTTAATTATTTATTTACTTTATGATTTAGGCGTCCTAGAAGCTTCAGCTGGAAAATAGTTAATGTTGTCTCTCATCTCTGCAAGCAACATCTCAGTTTAACAAAGCTCAGAGAGATGAGTAAAATGACTTTCTCTCCTCCTGGGGGAGAGCAGTCCATGATGCAGCAGTGCTTTCTGGGCATTGTGGCTCCTGCTGCAGTCACCTGCTTCCCTTCTGCACCTGTGGGTTATGGGGCGGGGCAAGGGAAAACAGCTCAAACCCAAGACAAATATGACTGGAGCCCCAGCAAAGATGTCACAGAAACAAAAAGCATAGCTGGACTGAATGGCACCGTTTTTACCATGCTGTCTGAAAAGCACACCATTGCAAAGCCCTCTTTTCCCTGCGCACAACATTAGGCATCAGCAGGAAGCAGAGTTAGGTAACACAGCCTGGAAAGCAACACAGAGGGTTGAGACACTGAAAAAAGCATTCGGTGGTCTGTGCCCATTGGGTGCTAGTTTGTGGGTTGCTATATTATTAACTAGGCTATTTTTACATCCCAGCCCTGAAAATCGTGCCAGGCGAGCGAGGTGAGTCACATCAGGTTGCACAAGCCTTGGTAACAAGGTGCATTTAGGGAAGCTGCCGTATCTGCGGTGTTTTCCCAAATGCGCCAGAGGCAAGGGCCCCAGGGACCCCTGCTGCAGCTGTGGCCGGTCCCCAGGTCCCCTTGGCAAGAGTAGCCCCCCTGTCCAGTTGCCTGGTGATTGCTTTTGTTGATTTTCCCCCAGGGCTTTTTCCATGGTTATGTTAAACAGCCTCAGTGGAACCCGTGTAGTGCAAACAGGACCTTTATTACTAAAAACCATGGGCTTTAAATGGTCCTTGGGAGCTGTGCTGGCAGGCAGAGACCCCCGGGGTATATGCAGATCTGTGTCCACCAAAAGACACTGGGAGTCAGGCTGGGTGCCCATCCAGGGACTACGACCACCTAAAGCCACAGCGGCCAAAATGCTCATCCTGTTTCCCCTGCAGATGATATTCTGGCCCCAGGAAGGCACCAACACCCCGGCACACATCAGCCCGCGAGGACTGACCTCTGCTGATCCCCGGCAGGCACGGTCAGAGCCAGAAAATGAGGGCAAGAGGAGCAGCACCAGTGTCAGCCTGCAGAGGGGAGACGGTCTCACACTTTATGTTAAGCTTTTCTCTCAGGCTTTAACTCAGCTGTTCTTTTCCTCCTTCATTTTACAGGGATTTTTCATGGGTTTATTATTTTAATTTCCGTTCCATTTTCTTTAATTGATTTTTATTTGGTTTCCATTTTCATTCATTTGTATTGTGTCATTTAATATTTACTAGGTATTTGAAAGCGATAAAAACCATATTTAAATAATGACAATTATACCCATTTAATTCATATTAATTTCTGTTTTACGCCTGCTGTTTCCATAATGTTTCCACTAATTTTTCTTATGTTGTGAAAATATTTGGAAAAAGATTAAATAATTTGGAAAAAAAAAATCAAACTCTTCCCCTTTTCTTCTTAAGAGATGAAACAACTATCTTTTTTTCCCGAAGTGTTCCTTTGAAAACTTTTGCCAATTTCTGATCTTGCTGACGTTTGCTCCTTCCTGCTTAGAGCTACGCAGAACATTGCCTGCTTAGTAATTTCACTAGATGCATTAATTATGCCAAAGGGCAGCACTAAAGATGTTATTTACCATGATCCAAAGGCGCGTTTGAGCCTTTAATTTTGCTTTTGATTTTGGGTTGTTTTGTTTTGTTTTGTTTTTTTCCCAAAGGTACCAAAAAAAAAACCCAAACCAAACCAAACAAAAAAAACAGAGGGGGAAAAAGAAATCCACTCTCTTAAACTGCTGAGATGAGCTTATTCCTCAACGTGTATCGAGCACGGATGGAGTAATGCGGTGCAGGCATGTCACATTCAATGTGCTAAAAGCACATTCACGTCAATCCGGGGCTCGGGGTGCTCCCCCTCGCCATATGGAGGGGGCCCAGCAGCTGCTGCGGCTCTCGTGGCAGGAGCCCGCCTGCTGCACCATATGCTACTGATGCTACTGATGCTGCTGCTGCTGCTGCGGCGTCCCCGGCGAACACAAGCCCAGCCAGGGCGCGGGGGCTGGGGGTGCTCCTCTAAGCCACTTGCTCTGCCAGAGAAAATAAGCTAAGCAGCTTATCATGGCATCAGTGCACGTAGCTCGGAGGACTGACCTAGCAGCACCTTCGCGGTGAGAGAGAAAGGCAGGAGGGGGACCTGAACAAAGGGTCATTGCTCCCTTTTTATCCAGAGGAGGACACTTAGGCCATGAAGCAAGGATAAACAATAAATTAAGTAACATAGTAAATTAAGAAAATAAATATCAAAGGAGTGATGCCTGGAAAGTGATCCTGCAAGTTATTTTTCACTGCAGGCTCTCCAAAAATATCCTGATGTGTAGGTGTCTATTAAAAGCAAGCTGTGTCTGGGATTCAGAGTAAGGTATGAACTCATTCCAAGGACTAATTGCCATTATGCCACCCATAGGGAAAAAAATGCTGGAGGCTGGATAAAACAGTCTTCCAAGAGGCTTAGGCACCAGTAACCTTCCCAAGTGAAACAAAGGAGAAGGAAGAGATAAGGTATGAGGAGAACATACAAATATTTGCTATAAGATTAAAAGGCAGACCTAGTAATTAGACAGAGTGGGGTACAGCCAAACATAACAGGATGAAATGAAGGCATGGCTAGTTGAGGAACATTTACTTTCCTACCCATGAAAATTGGTAGATCAAAGTATTAAGTGGAAACACAGAGACAGAAAAGAATTAGACAAATCAAAACAATGAGAATTCAACATATATGGGGGAAAAGATGGACTGTCTGATTAATCTTCTTCTCACTCTGACAGATCAGACTTGATTCACACATTAATGTCGGTAGATACTGCCAAGCACTTACCAAGAGCAAACCTCTGCCTTGTTTAAGAAAATAGCAGCTTTGCCATTGGCTTTGATGAAGCCAGAAAATTAAACAAAACCCAGAAAATTATGTCCTTGTTCTCTACTGCTGGGCTAATTAAAACAGAAGGAGACTGTGACCCTGAATTTTCTGGTTTCTTCTAGCTCCTGCTTACGCCCTTTCGTTGCTGCCTTTCTGAAAAGTAAATTTGATAAAGCCTCAAAATTCATAAATATCTTTCCCATTTTCTTGACTTATGATTGCATCTTGTTCTGAAAGTGCCTTTGGAAGTCTCTCCCAGGCCAAAATACCTGAAAGGGCCTTTAAAAAAAAAGCCAATCTTCATCAGCAATCTCTTGCTGCTAGAGAAAATGATCAGCTTTTGATTAATCAAGAGTTTTGATTGATGAAGGACCAGTCTTTCATGTTATACTGTACCTCATTTTTCAAATCAGCATTATTATTTACACACTGGCTCAGCTGCACTACAATTTTCTTTGCAAATTCATATTTTGACAAATTATATGGCAATTTTTTTATACTGCAATTATTTTGTGAAACAGAGTTTTGCTACTGAATATTCATAGAGCTGTAAGAACACTGCTCACTCATGTACATAAATTACACATCTCCTCCACATTTTGCCTTTCCCCGAATTATTATGCTTCCATGAGAATGTAAAGAGAGCTTGCTCTGTACCCCATAGCCCCTGGCAGAAGAAAGCATGGATGAAACAAGAAACACAAAGAGACATATCTGAAAGCGCCTCTCAGGAGGCAAAGTGCATACCTTTGTACCAGAAAAGAAGAGGCAGCAGGACGCTTCCCATCTTGAACTGCATCTTTCCCTTCCTCTGTTGTGAATAGCTCCTTAGTGTACTGCTTGGCTTGATGGGAAGGCATGAGATTAACTTAAGCATTGCCTAAGCACCTTACTCTCCCCCATTCTCATGATTTTCTCAAGCACATCAAGCCAACCACACAAATATTACGGTCAAGCTCCATCCTAGAGGATGCGTCATCTGCAATAGTTTTTGGAAGGTAACAGGTATTGAGGTACTGACGCTCTGAGTGTGAATCTGAATAGGTATGTAGACATATGTCCAAATAAACAAGGATTTACCTATGTAGAAACCAAATATACCCCCTACAGAAAAGCAGATGACTAATGCTGCTACAAGATAGGTAGTATATATTGTCTATTGTATATAACAGGTATTCACTGTCTTCCACCCCAATTCTTTACCTCTACACTATCAGTGCCTTTCTCAATAATAGTTGTGTGTTGAAATCTGCTCTGGCCTTATTGCTCTTCCAGTCACCTAATTGTGTGGGGCTGAAAATTGCAATTAGTATATCAAACAAAAATAGCACTTTTCAGTTGTTTACTTGCTAGGCTCTAAAAAACTCAAACCAAAAATGTACACCTGCCTTTGCTAACAGTTTTACCTATAGTATCCTCTCAACAGGCTTACATTCAAGAGAGTAATAAATTTGATTTTAAAATGATTGAAAGGTTCAAGATAAAAGAACTAGTGATTCCAGTGGATCTTGCACCCGTTCCTCCAATCTCTGCTAATTATGTGCAATTAGCAGTGAATTTTTAATGGAGGCTTTTGAAAGCAATTGCTTCAGAAGCAGCTTGCTTTGTTTCAAAAGATCACAGATTGTATGCACTGGGAATAGATTAAAGTGCCGCACAGATCACGTAGGCTGCTGCGGAGTTAAGCTAATCGTGTCTCTAGTCTTCTGGTCTACATCCATTCAAAAAATGCTGTGCAGACAAGGATGCTGACTTTTCAAAAACAGTACAACATCCCACTGCAGTTACACCTCCAGCACGAGTACCATCCTGGCCTCACCGGGGCATGTGACATGGATGGAATGAGTTTCCTGCCAAGGGGCCTCACTGCTTTGCTCAGTTCAAGGAGTTTAACCTTCTCAACCCAACACTTTCCCCACTTTATCTACATGGAGAGGTGTGTCATCACAGGCGGATCCCTGCACAGCCATTCTGCTTCATGGACCTGGGCCAGTTCACCCCAAATACTGAGGGAAAATCAATGCGTGGCAGCACAAGCAAGAAGAGCAGCTTGTCCCAGGCACCGAGAAGGAGGTCATATTTCTAAGGGCAGGGGACTGCTCCTGATTTTTGGTCAGACATCTTATGTTCATATGCAACACCCCTCTCAGGGCAGTGAGACCCACCAGAAGGTCCAGCCAGGGGATAAAGAAACATGAGCCTCACTGAGGGTACCAGGGCAGCCTCTGGGCATCTGCCACAGTGCAGCGTCTTACTCCAGGCTCTACAGTATCCAGTATCTACAGTATCCAGACAAGAGTGTCTCTCCTTCTTTTTTTTTGTCCAGGCTAAAATGGTTTGCCACAGAGACAGAGATTTCTAGAGCTGCTGAAGACACTCAGATATCTATTCCCTCCCTACCGTGATGAGCAGTTGGTATCTAAATCCCATGTGTTTGAAAATCCCAGCTTAAAAATCCCTAAATACCTTCATCCACATATCTCTTGGAAAACCAGACCAGGGCTTCAGCCTCTCACCTTCTGGTCTCATAAGCACAGGTCACAGGGAAGCAGAGCTGCCCACACAGAGAGAAATCACCTACCATGTTTTAAAAGAGAAAAGCCAAATTCTCTTCCATCACCCCAAGCAATTTATAATCAGTTTGGTTTATGGTCAACCCCACGCTTCAAATAGGTTTTGATTTTTTGTAAGAAGTGCACAATAGCTCAGGGAACATGTTCAGAAATAGCACAGCTGTTATCAAAGGACATTTCATCCAAAGGGACGCTCTTTAAGACTAGTGACTGCCCAGTTATAAAATTCCCTCTATAAAGCACAGCAAGCCAGCCTTTGTTTAAAATGTCTGTAGCATTCAAAAAATCAAACTGGTTCACATGAAGATTAGAAGAACCTTAAAATTAAAGTCCCTGTATAAATAGTATGCAGTTCAGGCCCTTTGTGTCTAATGGTGTTGATGGTCCTTCATTTTAATAACCATGAAGAGCAAAACCACACTGCCACTGCAGACATTCATTGCTAAATGAATAATTAAATTATTAAATGTGATTAAATGAATGAATTAATTAAGTGATCAAATGAATAATGTAGTTAATTCTTAGAAAACATAGAAATATTTTCAGGTACGGAAGACAGAAACATTTAATACAGCACCAGAAAGGGCTTCAGTTGCCCTTTTTAAAAAAATAAAATTTTAGAAAGGATAAAAATTAGTCTGGCATTGATTACAGAACAAAACTGAGACTACTACCAATGGCCCAAATTATGACAGTTTGGTGACATCCCCATTGCTGTGTAAAACAGGGGCAGGAACTGCCTGGGCAGGTTTACTCTTCTGGCCATGCATCTTCTCCAGCTCTAGCTCGTGTCACGTTGGCCTTAAGACATTTTGGTAGGTATTCTTAGCCCTCAGAAATCTTGGTGTCTTTCTCCAGTCTGTGGGAAACAACACAAAGATCACCCTGCACCACTGAGATGCTTTTAGTCTGACTGGCACCGTATGTGTGTGGCCTCAGAGGGGAAGCAGGAGGCAAAAGTACTGGTGTGTGAGAGGGAAGAGCAACTCCACGAAGCAATTTCATGTTTCTCCCAAAGTCAGAGTGCCAGACAGCTAAATCAGAGTGGCATGCATCGATTCGTGCGTCTGGAAGCTGAACACACACGGCACGCAATGTCTCAGCAGGAATGTGTGACTGGCACACTTTTGTTTTATCGCAGTTAAGGAACGCACAAAATACACATTTATACATGTACGTGTGAACCACGGACATCTCTCAGAAGCAGGATACTGATGTGTGGAAAAAGCAAGACTGCCAGCCCTATTAGAGCTCGAGTCAAACCATCAGGAGCTGGATCCTCTCAAAATGGATGGAGCTACTCTGGTCTACACACACTTAGAATCTGACTCTTAGAATAAAATATTCTTTCTACAAGTCTGAAGAGTGAGCTTGAGTCCTCTTCTGAAAAGGGCCCCTTTTCCTAAATGTAAGAAAACACAATGCAGATAGTTACACTGTGCTGATCACCAGTATTAGGCCCACTCACTCTAACACACACCTGGGGGGTTCTGTGGTTGTCAATGGTAGGGTAAGCACCATGGGATCACCATCCTTATTAGGTGGAAAGGAGGCTTGCATATCCTACATTAGGAGAAGTCTAGCTAAGCCTGACTCACCTTTGAGCTTGTATCGTGGAAGCAGCAAGTCTATGGAAAACAGTTTACCCAAGAGGTGGGACACACTGCTTTGGCTTCACCTCCTGTGAGCTGCACACATGCTGCTAAGCAAAATAAGCAGAAGAAAGTCAGACTTCAGTACATCTGCACTTTCAGGCTGTGGCATACACAAGCCCTTAGTACTGTTATGGTGTTTAATGTTATGAGCTTAGTATGCTAGGTCTCACTATGTGAAGTACAGGTGTTTTCTACCCAAAGGAGCTTTTGTTTCCTGGCCCAGGTATCCCTGCATTGGTCTGCAATCTGTAACTGCAGTTTGCCCATGCCTCAGAGTGTTTCTTTAGTAAGAGCAAGCACTAACAAAGGTTAATAGTTTTCTTAATATATGATGATTAAAGGAAGTTTCTTAATAGGACTCTGATTAAGGTAAGTTCAGCCTATTTTTCTCTTTAAAGATAGGTAAATCACACCCTCCCACTCTGCTCCTTCAAAGATACTCAAGAGCTAACTCCAGGTCAGCAGTGTTCAGGGACTCTCCTTGTCCTCCTCCTGCATTAATGTCTGAGCCCCGGCACTCATTAGGGCTCCCACACACAGACAGATGCTGTGCCAGTATCCATGCCCAGAGGATACCCTTTCCTAAAGGCTTGCACGTGCAAAATGAGACAACATGTTATAATTTAAAAGTTAAACTGCTCCGAGGCAATCTGAGATGGCTCTTTCTTTCCTAATTAATAAAACCGGTACACACAGTACCGGGGAAAACCAGGTTGGAGTTAACTGTCCTTGCTAGCTGTGTGCTGTGAAAAGCGCCCGCCTTTCCCCTAAAGCGCTAAAACTCTTGTCCAAGCACAGAGGTGAAAGGCCCTACGCTCCAGTCTGTCCCGGTGAGCCTCTCCTTGAGGATGCAGCGGGCTGCAGATTCCACCGCTGCCCTTGTCCCCGCTCCGGAGGAGGCACAGGCTGCTGCTTCTCCCCCTTCCGCCGTGGTTCCCTCTGGTGTCTGCGGTCTCCTTGGTTACCCAACCAGGGGACCATGGTAAGGTGGGGATGGGAAACGCTCCTCTCGCGAGGTTTAAGCCTGTGGAAAGGCTCCTGAGGGAGAGGGTTTCCCATTTAGGGGGCTTTTCTGCTCCCCTCGAAACGCACTGCTCCGCCTACTACCGCAGGCAGGACCTGCGCTTTTTTTGAGTGCTCACGAGATTGCTCGTTTCGAGGAGGAAGCAACTAAACCGATCCTCCTCCTCGCTTCGAAGGAAATTATGAAAACTCGCGGTGAGCCAAGAGACACAAAAAAAACAACATTTTGGCGCTGGTTCCACTGGGGCTCGAACCCAGGACCTTCTGCGTGTAAAGCAGACGTGATAACCACTACACTATGGAACCGCCACACGCGTTAACGGCCGCGGCACTGCCCCTATCGACGAGACGCCGGCCGTGCTTCCTTCCCTCCCTGAGCAGGGAAGCTTCTTATGTTGTTTTTAATCGCTGGTTGATTAAAAACAGTTCTAGTAATCAAAAACTACCCTAATGCGTTTCCTGCCCCTCACATAGCTACAGAGGGGCAGTGAAGGGCGTAAAGCACCTCAGTAGCTACAGGTAAGGCTTCTGTGCCCCTGCGTGCTGGGTCAGCCGCGGGCCCCGCTCTGCCCCACCGAACACGACCCGCGGGGGCAGGTAACGAGCCCGGGGGGCGAGGGCCGCGTTACAGCGTTAGGCCGGTGCTGTGGGCACTCCTTTGCCCTGCACGTGTATTCCATACATGCGGTAGCGAATGCATTCTTTGCCTTCAGACCGTGTGCTCCCCACGTCATTGGCTCCAACCCAGCTTAGGAAA